TACTTTTACTTCCCCACTCGCTCCTCATCCAACCTGAAGACTTAGTTAAGATTGTTATTAAGTTTAAATTATTTTCTCAAGTAGTTTCCTCAGATGGAATATGTGATTTCTATGTTCTCTGAATTCTTGGAAATATCTTTCTTTGACCTGAAAAGCCAGCGGTCTCGTGGCTGGCTATAAAGTACTTAGGATACTGTCTTAATCATCTAGTGCTGCTATAACGGAAATACCACAAGTGGATGGCTTTAACAAAGAGAAATTTATTCTCTCACAGTCTAGTAGGGGTTACAAGTGCAAACTCAGGGTGTCAGCTCCAGGGGAAGGCTTTCTCTGTCAACTTTGGAGGAAGGTCCTTGTCATCAGTCTTCCCCTGTTCTGGGAGCATCTCAGCATGGGAACCTCAGGTCCAAAGGACACGCTCTGCTCCCAGCATTGCTTTCTTGGTGGTATGAGGGCCCCATGTCTCTCTGCTTGCTTCTCTCTTTTAACTCTCAAAAGAGATTGGCTTAAGACACTATCTACACTTGTAGATCTCATCAATATAACTGCTGCTAATCCATTTTATTACATCATAGTGATAGAGTTTACAACACATAAGGAAATCACATCAGATTCCAATATGGTACACAATCATACAATACTGGGAATCATGACCCAGCCAAGTTGACAGATATTTTGGGGGGACACAATTCAATCCATGACAGATACCTTCTTTTATTTTCAGTAGGCTCTAGATTTTTTTTCTCCCATTCTTCTTGCTTTTAAGTCACAGAAATAAAACTGACGCCAATATGATTTTTTTCTTTATAATTAAGTTTTTCTTTATGTTTCATTGTCTGGGAGCTTATAAGATTTTTCTCTTTTTTTTTTTTCCCTTGGGGTTCAAGAATTACATCTGCTTATGCCTGAGTCTTTTTTTTACCAACGTCATCCGTAATTCTAAAAGCCTTTCAATCTGCAATCTCATATCTTTCTTTGGTTCAGGAAGATTATTTCTTCACTTATAGTTTTTCCTCCATTGGTACCTTTTCTTAGCTCTGGGATTCCTATTATTCACAAGTTTTATCTCCTGGATTTATCCTCCAACTCATCTTAATACAGGATTCACAAGCCTCCATCTTCGCAGATTCTTTTGTCTATCCTTCCCAAAATATTAGTAATATATTACTTCTGGTTAGAAATACTACAGAATTTGATTAAAATCATTTTCCAATAGTACTAAATGGGCAAAAGCCTCTTACTTTACTATAATAATTTCATAATTAAAAAGACAAAAGAAAATTAACACCAAAGAAATATATAGGTTACTACGGAGGTACAAAATATTACAAGTAGAAAAAAAAGTATTAATGGAGTAAGTTACTCTGTAAAAAGAAGTTTCATCACAATGTCTTTTGAAATATAAACATCACATCCATCACTTTGCAAATAATGCAATTTTTACAAATCACATTCAGCAGTATCCTTAATCACTAACTATATACAAAATATATTTTTCTACATGTCAGAGAATCTTCAAGTGTCAAAGCATATGGTGAGCTGCTGTCACTGATCTTTCCCCCATAAAACTAAGGATAGATGATTCTAGCCGAAAATGTGGAAAACAGAGAGAGAGAACCCTTGCTTCTGTGAGTGATTATTCTTTAGAATCAAAGAAACTGTGTGTTAATAATCAAGCACTGTAGGCAAAAGGAAATAGGAAAGCAACTAAATTTTTCTTTGGAAAAATTTTGTCTGTAAAGAATGGAAAAGCAGTTAGTACATTTTAACTTTGTTCAACTCATTGCCAAAGAACATAATTTGGGTGAATAGTTTAGTAAGTTTCAGGGGCTATTCAGGCACTTTACACAAAAGAGAACATCAGCAGTCATCCCAGGAATGATGAAATTACAGGGCTATCAATCCTCCTGCTTCAGGGCATGGGCTGTTCACCAGCTAGAAGTGAAAAGGCATTCACCCAATGGTATAGTACTTCTGTAATATCATCAGTTACATTCAGATTTTTATTCCCCTTCAAACACAATTCATGAGGGGGGGCACTTTAAAGTACATTATGACCAACTAGTACACATAAAAGGAAAATCTTCAAAGGCTTACAAAAATAGTTTAAAGAAATGAATACAAGAAAAATAATAACCTCTCAGGAAAAGGAGGCAGTACAGCACAGAGGCTAACAAAGACATTTTGGATATTTATCACATAGAGCCTGAGACAGTGTAGAACTCAGCATTTGTTGAATGAATGAATGAACAAAGGAACAAATTCACATGTGGTGGGTTCAAATCCCAGCCTCACCAATATTTGACCTTGGGTACTTTACTCATCTGTGAAAAGGGGGTAATTGTGCCACCTCTTTGTGTTATTACTAGGTAATACGTGTACATAAATAAACTCGTTACCTGGAACAAGGTAAGCTCTCAACAAATGACAGTCATTTTAATAGCTTTCCTGGGACTGGTTTGATTTCTCTAATTCCGACCAAACAGATCTATTAAATCATCTGAAGATATTTCATAATACATCAAATCTTTGTATATTGACTGTATTATAAGTCTATTCCCCTAAGGCTCTTTGTGAAACCAACAGTGTTATTAAGTCTCAGATAGCCCTTAACACTAGCCTTTACTTGGAACTAAGCATTGCTTTCTACTAATAAGCAGACCTCTTAGATCATATACTGTTGTAAGCAAAGTTCAAATGCACAGGAAGAGTAAGAGCTGCTTTCCTGGAGATGTCCAAAGCACTGGTCCAAGGCTACTCCAACTTTGGGCCAAATAAATACAGCAGCCATGGAAAGGACGGTAAATGATGAGTGACACCAACACTGCTTTCTAACAGTTTTTCAATAATGAACTACTTGTTATCAACAAATTATCTTGGGGCCCACAAATTAGATATATCCTGCAAGTACAGATATCTCAACTACACTTGAAAAATCTCTATGCCTGCAAAGGGAGTACATATTCGTTTTTGATGCTCTGGGCTTAACTAGTTAAAAGCCATGTTAAAAATTAATTGCATAGCATTTGTGATTAAGATGGCTTTAAATAACAGTGAGGACTTCCCCCACAAAGGATCATTAACTGCTGTTTTCATTGCAACTGAAGAAGGTGTTGGAAAGGGAACCTGGGTTATTGGACTAGTTCTCCAAGGGCAGAGTTATAAAAAATGTATTTTCTTCTGAACAATAAACTGGTTTTAAATTATTAATGTAACTGAATAATCAAGTTATCTCTCTTCTGGAAGATTGGAAATTGGAAGACTGCTTAGAACTTGGAAAAAGTTTTTGTCATTTACTTCATGAATCACTCAGCTAAGGCAGCCATGTACTATTTCAAATAAGTTACTGCCTCAGAATGTGACTTGACTTGAAGATTTTCTGTGATGCATCTTCCATCATCAAATCAACAGTGTTGCAGGCTAGGGGCAGGACCAGGTATCTCTAGTCACGTGTCGGGAGAGGGGTGCTTAATATATAGGGACTAGCACTGGAACTCCTTTTCCCCATCACTACCATCACCATCACTACACACCTCACTGGACGGAACAGAAAGAGGCCACCATGCTGGAAGCTGTGGTCAATGCTCAGGACGCGTGCCATTTAATACTGGTGTTTGCATTCAAATATTGAGCTTCTGCAGTGACACAGTGATTTATCCACAGAGCTATTACTAAACTAAGGACACTCAGAAACAGACCAACCATTCCTGTCTCAACTGAATGAAAAGTCCTGCTGGCCTTGTGGAAGCTCAGTGAGGAGCTTAGAGGAGACAGCGGATAAAGAAACAACATTGGGAGGTAGAGAGAGAAGAAAGGCTAGAGGCACATTCACACCACAGCGTAGAGGCCTTTGGGCCAGTGTGAATTTAAAGCGTAAAATGAAGAGGGTATAAATTTTGACTAATATACTGAGCCTTTACATTGATTGGAGCCCTGGTGGTGCATTGGTTAAAGCGCTCGGTTGCTAACGGGAAGGTCAGTGGTTGTACCAATCCGCCACTCCATGGGAGAAAGATGTGGCAGTCGGCTTCCGTAAAGATTTACAGCCTTGGGAACCCTATGGGGCAGTTCTGCTCCGTCTTATAGGGTCGCTATAGTCGGAATCGCCTTAACGGCAATGGGTTTTACACAGATTACCTAGTTTGAATCTCACGGCAACACTAGGAAATTCCGTTTTAGAGACGAGGGGACTGGGGTTCGAAGAAGCGAAGTGACTCTTCCCGGGGCTCACGCCCAGCGCCATCAGATTCCGGGGATGTGGGAGCTCCAGGGGCCAGCTTTCGGGGATTTAGGGAGGGGGAGAAATGCCCAACAGCCGCTCAGAAACCTAGGCCTGGGTGAGGGGCCTGCTAATGCTGCCAGCAGCGGAAGGAGAAGGGGGGCCGCCAGCGATGCGCAGCACTGGCCAAAGAAGGTAGGTCGGCGCAGAGACCATTGCTGGAAGCCAAACGCAAACTGCTGGCGAGAAGCACCCGCTCCCTCAACCAGCCCTCTCGCTACTGGGAGGGGTTTCTCACGCCCCCTGCTCCTGGGTGACTGCACCGGAGGTCGGAAGCAAGCGGGGCGAAGGATGAGTCATCCTGCCTAATTCCTCCTTCCCAGTCCCCTCGCCTCCGCATGTCAGCCCCCTCCGGAGCTCGCGCTGCTGGGAGCGAAGACTCCCCTCATCTTCAGACTCCTCCACCAAACCCCCGGTGGCCTGCCGGGGAGATGAGACGGACGGAGCGTGTGGCCAATGAGAGCTTCCCTCTGTCATCTGCCGTCCAATGGACCCCTGTTTGGAGGTCGGGGCGGGACTCGGAGGGCAGAAGAAGGCGTTCCGGGGCTGGCGCGCGGTGCGGCGGCCCCTGGACTCGCAGAGCTAGCGCCTAGCTGGGAGTCCGCGCCAAGGCGACGCGGGAAGGCGCCACCACTGCCGCCGCCGCCGCCGCCGCTGGCCAAGGTGCTGGACACGACAGGCCCTCTGGCCACCTCGCCAGTTCAGGCACCACTGCATCGCTCCAAACCCGGTCCCCATGGAAGAGATGGAAGAAGAGTTAAAATGCCCTGTGTGCGGCTCCTTTTACCGGGAGCCCATCATCTTGCCCTGCTCTCACAATTTATGTCAGGCGTGCGCCCGCAACATCCTGGTACAGACCCCGGAGTCTGAGTCCCCACAGAGCCGTCGGGCCTCGGGCTCCGGGGTTTCCGACTATGACTACCTGGACCTGGACAAGATGAGCCTATACAGCGAGGCGGACAGCGGCTATGGCTCCTACGGGGGTTTCGCCAGCGCCCCCACTACCCCGTGCCAGAGGTCCCCCAACGGAGTCCGCGTGTTCCCCCCGGCTATGCCGCCACCCGCCACCCACCTGTCACCGGCTCTGGCCTCGGTGCCCCGCAACTCCTGTATCACCTGCCCCCAGTGCCACCGCAGCCTCATCCTGGATGACCGGGGGCTCCGCGGCTTCCCCAAGAACCGCGTCCTAGAAGGAGTGATTGACCGCTACCAGCAGAGCAAAGCCGCGGCCCTCAAATGCCAGCTCTGCGAGAAGGCGCCCAAGGAGGCCACCGTCATGTGCGAACAGTGTGATGTCTTCTACTGCGATCCGTGCCGCCTGCGCTGCCACCCGCCCCGGGGTCCTCTGGCCAAGCACCGCCTAGTACCCCCGGCCCAGGGCCGCGTGAGCCGGCGGCTGAGCCCGCGCAAGGTCTCCACCTGTACAGACCACGAGCTGGAGAACCACAGCATGTACTGCGTGCAGTGCAAGATGCCCGTTTGCTACCAGTGCTTGGAGGAGGGCAAACACTCCAGCCACGAAGTCAAGGCTCTGGGGGCCATGTGGAAACTGCACAAGGTAAGTCCTAAGAAAAACCACCCCTAACTCCCCGCGCCTCCGACCCTCTGATTTTGCAGTAGAAGGTCCACCTCTCTTGGGCACAGTGCATCCCAGTGGGGGCGCAAGGAACGGGCCTTGGATGTCAGCCTCCCGTCTGGTGCATTGCAGGAAGCGCGGGGGTGCTTTAAACGGCTCAGGGGAGTTGAATGTCCCCAAATAGTTGTTGCGGGGATGCCTTAGAGCGAGTCTTTTGGGGTGCGCTGCCCGATAGCTGCGCCCAGGGCGCCCCCTCTCCGCGACGGACCTGTAGCCTGGGGCTGCGGACGGGGTGTCAAAAAGCTGTGCGTAGCGAGGGAGAGGCGTGTCAGTGCCCAGGGACACCTGGCACGCTCGAGGGCAGGACATCCTGCGGAGCTCTAGCCTCGGCCGGGTGAAGGGGAGGAGCAGAGGTGGTGGGGTCGCGCTGACCGCATGCGCAGTGACTCACGGCGGCGCCGGGGAGCCGCCGCTGGCGGAATACGGATGAGTCCGCGCTAGCCCAGGCCTGGCGCCCCAGCTTGAAAAGACTCGGGTGCCCGGTGTCTCGCGGTCAGGAAGCGGAGCCAGGGATTGAGAAGGGGGTGGGAGAAGTGGGGGCTGTGGTCGCCATGGCAACGCGGCGCGGAGGCCCTGGGTCTGACCCTCCAGGTGGGGACCTGGGGCAGGAGTGGTAAGACTTGAGATTTCTGCGCGGTTGTGACCTGAAAGCCAAGCAGCTGCGCCTCCCAGGGTAACCCCCTCCCCATAACCACCCCCAAACACCCATTGCTCCAGAAATCAACCCTTTTCCTCTTTCATTAGTTGCATATGCAAAGTCTGTGACACCTGTTACCAGATTTATCCCTCTGGTCTCTTTTGACAGCGCCTCCATCGAGGCTAGTGTCCGGAAGAGTCCATCCTCTAATCGAAATCCTCCAATAGTTTCCCACGTTTCGCAGTCCGTCTTTAAAATGGTCTACCAGGACCTACATGACCTACATCTCCTATAACCTCTTCGACCTCCTTTCCTCCCACTCAGTCCAACCACCCTGTTCTTGCTATTCCTCAACCACAGCCAGGCACCTTCCTGCCCCAGGGCCTTTGCATTTGCTGTTCCCTCAGCCTGAGATGCTCTTCCCCAAATTCCTATATCCAAATGGCTCACTCTGGCCTCCTTCAGTCTCTGCTCAGATATAACCTTGGCAGTGAGATTTCCTGACCGCAATTGCTGCTACCCACCTCGAATAGTCCCTAATTCCCTCATTGCTTTATTTGTCCGTAGTACTTATCTCTTTCTGACATGCTGTATATTTTAATTATGTTAATTTTGTATTGTTTAATGCTTTCCCCCTTCCCCTCCAACTAGAAAATCAGCTTCATGAGGAAAGAGTTCTTTATAATATTCTGCTCACCACTGCTTAGAAGAAATGAAACCATCCTTTAGGAGATATACCTAAATTTGACTTTTACTTTTTAAACAATCCATTTAGTTGGAGTTGAGTGGGCAGAGCAGGGTGTTCAAGATTACTGGAGGGAGATTTCTTTCACCTCACTGACTTGCAAGCCCAAGGATGAGGCAGGGCAGTGAAGATGCTTCCAGGACTCCCCTGTGGCCCTGAACTCAGAGGTCTGCAGCATTCCTGGGAAATGAAGAAAGGCTGGCCTTGGAACGGGGGCCCTGGGGTTGAGGCTGGAACACTGATATTTTATTTACAGTAAGAAAAATAAAATATCACCATTTTCAGCAACTCCTGCTCCCAGTTGAATGTGACCTGTTTCCAGTCATTTGTATTCTCACATCTAACCTATTAAACCATATTAGTACTGATAGAAATTTTATTCAGTACAAATCCAGCCCCACTAGGCACATGCCACTTTTTTAAAAATTACTTTGATTTAAATTTTAAAAAAAGACATAATTTTGAAAGTTTTCAAAACTTTAGTTTACAGCCAATTTTTTCCTCATATTAAGATTTCAACCCTTAAACTGCTAACTATAGTCAGTGTTGAATTGCTCCAGAAAAGTATCCTTGGAACTAAGAAATTAATAGCCTTGTCTGGAAAAAGAACTTAGAGCCACATGCTAATTAGGATGGTGGAGTCACAGCATTATTTTTCTTTGGAGAGAAGCCTATATTTTACTCATTAAGACCAAAAGGAACCTTTATCTCTGTCAAGCCCAGTATAGATTTGAAACGTTAAGCCGTTTGTTTTATCAGTAATGGAAGTTGTAGGTAGACAGTGTGGTGCTGACTGGGTTGAAATTTGAATGTCTGCTAAAAAAAGAATTATAATCCTTAGGACATAAGTAAGGAGGCAAGAAAGAGAGTGTTGATTTGGGGTGGCTCATGGGGGGTGGGGAGGAGACCATTTCTTCTCTGTGTTTTGTACATTTTTCTCCAAAGTACAAAGTTGGTTTAATGTTTGTTCAGATCTATATCAGGAGCATTAAACTACCAAGAATAAATAAGGCAGAAGAATGACAGATTTTTAACATTTGCTTGTCATCTTTTAGATGAACAACAAACATTACTCCTATATTTTATCTCCTTAACAAGGTAATTAATATGTTAATGTACAATTTTCTCATATAGTCTGTTTTAATTAATGATACCTCCATCTCCACAAAAGCTCATGGGCCAGAATTTCTATGTCTTTCAGAACATAGGAGAGCAAAGAATTTCACTAGTTCTTCCAAAATTGGAATACAAGTTATTACTAGACCAGAAAGTGTCCATTAATATTCTATCATATTAATAAATCATTTCTACTGATAAAGAAAATCCTGTGAATAAATGTTTCCCTCAGGCACTAACGCATCATCTTCCACATTAAAGGAAAATTGTTTAAAGTTTATTTTTTAAGTTGTTTTAAAAACAACTGGTTGAAATTCATTAGTGTCAATTGACCAAATTAAAATATTTTCCAGATGTTTGTGGTTCTGATCTTCAAAATCCATGTAAAATAATAATGCATGAAGTGGCCTTATAAATATCTAGTTATGGTTTTTATTTAGTGTTAAAACCAAACCCACTGCCTTAAGTTGATTCCAACTCATAGCGACACTATAGGACAGAGTAGAACTGCCCCATAGGGTTTCCAAGGCTGTAAACCTTTATGGAAGCTAACTGCCACATCTTTCTCCTGCAGAGCAACTGGTGGGTTCAACTGTGTTTTAACCACTGCCCCATCAGGGCTCCTAATTTAGTATTAGCACTTGCTATAATCCTTTATCCAGCTTAGGTTGGTATAAAGCATTGATACACAAAAGTGAATTTGTAGATTTAAAAATACGTAATTAGAACCACTATTAGGAGCCCTGGTTGTGCAATGGTTAAGTACTCAGCTACTAACCAAGAAGTTGGTGGTTCAAACCCACGAGCCACTCCTAGGAGAAAGACCTGAGATCTGCTCGTATAAAAATTACAGCCTAGGAAACCCTATGGGGCAGGTCTCCTCTGTCTTACAGGGTTGCCACAAGTTGGAATCGAATGAACGGCTCACACAACAAAAACTACAGAACCGCTATTATTATGTGTAATTTTAAGCAGTTCATATTTCTAAATCCTAACATTCTCCTTGAATTCCTGGTGTGTTTTATCAGTAATGTATGTGTTACCATTCTTTTGTGCTTGTGCTGTTGAACAAGGATTATCTTTTCCTTTCTATCCTAAAGACTGGTTATTCATTCTGAATCTTGTCTCAAATGTTATTTTTCTCTTACCTTTTTTAAAATCAAGAATTGCATTGTAAGCAACATTTTAAAATAAACAATCAATTGATATGCCTTTATTATCAAAGTATTTTAGAACAAAGTATTCTAGAAAAAATCTGCTTTGTTGTATGGTGGTACTTCTCATCAAATATTTGTGTAGCAAAATGTTGTTTAATGTAACAAAAATGATATTCTGTTAACTGTATATCAGCAGTAAACATATTATAATGTATATGTTCCTGTAAATGTAACAGGTAGCATATGTTGGTGTTTTTTTAATTTTTTAAAATTTATTTCTAGTACAATCAGACATTCTGTGTGCAGTGTAAGCATTCTTACAGGTATTAAGGAGAATGTTACAAAGAAGGGAATTATTCCTCTTTGTACTGAGACCTAAGGAAAGAGCTAGATGACAGGTGGTGTGGGTGCTAGGCCTGACACTGCCACTTACTTGTGGGCAACTTTAAACAAGTGTCTTAACCTCTCTGTGCTTCCCACCAAAAAGGATAAAAAGCAGCTAAAACTATATTTGTGAAAGTGTTTTGAAAAATAATTTAAATGTTTATAATTTACTAATTTCAGTTTGGCACTAGAGAAAGTTTTTTGTGCAAAACAGAAGTTGGTGTCTCACTAGTTAACAATTACCCACATAAAAATCTGATCCCCCCATTTGGTATACTCTGCTAGCTTCTTTCAGAGCACAGGGTGCAACATGAAGGCTGCTCTGAAAGAGAGGCTTAAAACAGTAAGCTACATCCTCATGAGGCCAGAGAGGATACTCAGTTTAAGAATAAGAATACTGCACACAGATTTACTTATATATTAAACAATAACAAATGTATTTTGTTTTCCAAATTAAAAAACTAAAATGATAGCTGATATGACTCAGTTTTTTCAGATTCTCCAATGCAGACATTGTTATCACTTTGAAGTGGCAGAAATTATTTTTGTAGTATATGCCATGAAAAGATGCTATTAATTGGAATTTCAGGTCAAATCACAGTTTGTATAAAGTGAGAGGAAATGAGAACAGCCATCCGTTATTGGGTAATAGGGATAATGCACAGGTAACAATTATCCTTACCATCAGTACAATAAATTGCACTTCCCTCACCTGAACAAGTCAATGGACTTTTCAAAGTATGTATGTGCATATAACATAAATTTGGCACAGAGGAGGATAAACCCTACTACATGATAAATGTTTAAAAATAAAATAATTATTGGAATATGTATATAATTGCCTCCATGAACTGCCTCCTTTGCCATGAGACCAGAAGAACTG